TATGCAAGAATTTTAACAAAATGAACTGTTCACGAAAGAAAATTGATCTCATTCGAGGTCATATATGAAGTTTCAGGTTCAAACTTCAGACTGTTAACAGACAAAAAACAAACAAACAAACAAAAAAACACGGACACACGGGCGCGATTACTCTATAGTTCGATGGGCAACTATAACAATGCTTCACATTCAAGATCCTCCTCCTCCTCACCCACAACACCCTCCATCATCAGCACCCCCCCACCTCACAGACCTGCTCCAGCCCCACACCCCTTCCCGCAGCCTTCGATCCTCCTCTGCTCACCTCCTCGCCCCTCCACCGAGGACCGAGCATCAGACCTGGGAGGGGGACAGAGCCTTTTCTGCTCCCACCTTCTGGAACTCCCTTCCATCTCCCATCCGACACTGCTCCGACCTCCACACGTTCAAATCGCTCTTAAAAACGTACTTATTCAATATCGCATTTAATGTTTACCTGTTTTACATTTTTTATACCTGCTTTCTGTACTTGCTTTTTTATCTGCTTCTTATTCAACTTGTTTGTTTGCGTTTTTATCTTGTGCCCTGTAATTTCGCCCTGGTTGTAATGAATTTAACTAGAATTCTGTATTTAGTCTTTGTTAACCTCAGATGCCACGGTTCTTATGGTGAGATGAGTCACTGCCCCACGTACAGGCGTTTCAGCATCCTGTTCACGAGAAAAGACGAATGTTACATCTGCAGCACTGTGTGTCAGCTGTTGATCTGGTGGTTCAGTGTTCCATCTAAGTAGTATGAGATGATTTTATCCCTACACAAGTTGCTGATTAGTCAAAGGGGCTACATCTGTCTACCGCGGTATTTGTGATATGCTCTTCACAACAGGACAGGAAGTTAAGATAGCATCTCAGCAGCAGTGTTTAGGTGTGTTTATATATGTGGGTTTTCTTCTTCCTCATAGCAATGCAGCAAAAAACATAAAGCTGTCTTAACCACATCAGTGGTTGTCAGCAGACTACATATAAGGAAGCATGAATAAGTGTCAGTCAGTCTCATCTGTGGACTCGTAAATGCTGCAGGTATTTTGTTTTCTCTTCTTTGAACTGTTTTAATGCTAAAATTACCCAAAAAAATACACTACGTAGACTCCAACTGTATTCATAATTACAGTCAGCTGTACACGCTGTCCTGTAGTTTGGGTTCATCTTTGTCAAGTCGGCCAGGAAAATGAGCAGCGGAGTAGGAATTGAAGACACCTCATCCTTCAATCGGTCTTCAGGTACAAACCTGACTGAAGCTGACAGTGTGGCTCACTGTCGAGACTCCTCAATCTACCCCGTCTTAATGGTGGCCTACGGTCTGATATTTATGGTAAGTTTCACAAACTCCTTCTTCAGCACATTCTGGTCCACTCAGATGTTTTAGGCCTTATGCTGTGAGGAAACCCTTTCAGGGTGAGTAAATGACTTTACATTTAATAAAATGACACTAGTTGTCATGAACTCACTAACAGGTTCGGTGGACACAAATGCTCGACTCAGAGTAGGTTCAAGCAAAAGACAGGTTTAATAACAGTCAGGGTTCGGTACACAGGAAATCAGTCCAACAGGCAGAAGTATCCAAGAATGGGCGGGCAGAGGCAAGGTCCAAAAAGCAGAAACAAGGTCGAGATCAAACAGACGTGACTTAACTTGAATAACGCTGGTACGAGGACTGTGAAGTGCAACGAACTGGCGACGAGACAGTGAGACACACAGGGTAAAATACACGAGGTAATGAGGGTAGATGGGAAACAGGTGCGGGGAGGTAATCAGGGAGCAGGTGAGACGAGACAGGTACAGGAAGTAAAACTAGAACAGAACACCCAGTAAAGTGATTTCAAAATAAAGCAGGAAAGACGAGACATAATGTGCAGACATGAACAGAAACTTGACAGACATGACACTAGTCATGGTTCTACTTGTTAAAACAAACTGCTTTTCATGTCCTTTCTGACTGCTGTCTGGCAGTGTTCAGGCAGCCAGTAGTTGGGCATTTCATGAGATTTGTCACAAATCTGGCAACTAAATCGTTACCAAACAATTTCTTCACCAATATGTTTGTAAAGGTGTGTAGTAACATGCCTTAAAATGTTGAAGTTCAACTCCCGTGGGAAACCTTAAAACAAACCTGCTCAAATTAGGGTATTGATAACCAATTGAAGAAAAATCGATTTTTAAAAAGTCGGGCCTTAAGTAACTTTTGGGGGGTTAAAATCAGGGTTTCTTCATGATTCTGAGTTGATTGTTAGCATTTATATTTCACCACAAACACTCCATTGTTGAAAAAGGCCACACTCACTTTTACATTTACATTCACAGTAGCTTTTATTTCACATACTTATACAACACTCAGCTATTTCTCATTCACAGTGTCAGAAGCTTCTAGAGTCATTGTCTATGTCTTCTACAGACTCAACAACATCATGACACTTTGGCACTACTAACCCCAGGGATATGTTTAAACACTCTATTTCACTTGTGACTTAGAATAACCTTTAAGAACCACTAGAAGATCATGCGCACACAATTGTCTAACTTTTTACCACCATCAGATACTTGGAGTGACTCAATAAAATTTCAGTCCATATTGTCTTTAAATGCAAGATTATATATTTATTGCAACTCTTTTAGCATGGGCCAAGCAACAGTACTTGATTGTTCACGATGTAATTAAACCGGATTAATTAGAAAACAGTAATATAATCTGTGCTTTACTAAACCTAAAATTAATAACAAAATACTTAATTTGGAGAGGGAGAGAGCCTAACAACCTGGTCAGAACTGATCAGCTCGGCTCCATCTTGTCCTGAGCTAGGAGAGACCCCCTTTCAGCAGAGCAGCAACCCTGTACAAGGCACCGGTGTGCAGGCAAAGTCCTCCAGTCAGGAGTAGATGAAGAGTCGCGACTCCGATTAGAACTGCGGTCTGTTTTCGTATTCCATTGGGTAAAGAAGTGAGGCCTTTTCTTCTGGCAGAACACAGAAAAGGGTTCTGCCGCTCCAGTTGTGCTACAGTCCCGTTGCAACTCCTTCAATGCGCGAAAAAATGTTCTGAGAACTCTATGAGTCCCTCAAGCATCCCTCAGTCTCCTGGTCAGATCGACATCCAAGTGTGTTCTCCGTCCAGAGTGATCTCCGACGAACATCTCTCCGTCTGTGGCTTTTATGGTATTTCTATGGCTCTCTCCCACACGCACACAGTCTGATCACTAATAATGCACACTCATTGTTACACACCAGTAACACACACGAGATACACATATTACACATACATTTCTTTTTTTAAAGTTATTTTTTGGGCCTTTGTGCCTTCATTTGATAGGTCAGTGAGAGAGAGACAGGAAAGTGGAGGAGAAGAGTAGGGGGGGGACATGTGGGAAAGATCATGAGCAGATTCGAACCCATGACCTCCACATCGGGACTGTAGCCCTGCACATGGGACGCCAGCTCAACCAGGTGAGCTATAGCGGCGCCCCTACACATACATTTCTAATAGATGTTTCACCCTTTTACCTCTGAGTCAGGAGGTGTTTCATCCTTTAGTGCAACACTTAACTCCATCTTTGGTAACTGGAACGGACACAGTTTGGCGAACACAAGATGTGCAAGAGACATCTGGTTACAAAAAGAGGAACCTCTGTTTACCAAAAGAGGATCCATGGGCTACTTTAGCAATGAGTACACTGTCTTCACATGTTCTTTTAACCTTATCATGAACTTTACTGGAAACCATCAAAAACATCTTAAACCCACTATAATGTTTAGAATCATTGGCTTAACTTTAACACTACTGATTATCTGGTTATGTAATACCTATTTTATTTCAATTTAATCACACAATCATCATATTTGTAGCACAGCATATAGCATCTTCAATCATAAAGTCTTTTATATTGCTTACTGCAGAGCCAAAGTTCTTTGTTAGTGGCCGTGTCGGGGATCTCAAACCTTGACAGGGGTCTAGTGTTGGAACTGGCTCATACTCATACACACCTAATGTCCATCCATAGTCACTGGGCTTCAGAGACATGCTCTGTAGAAGGATCCAGTCCCAGGTCTGCAGAGTGACTGCTGTGCAGCTGAGAACATCCATCCATTATTTCACTAGGGTCACAGGGAGCTGGAGTCTATCCCAGCTGACTCAGGGTGAAGGCAGGTTCACCTGGACAGGTCACCAGTCTATCACAGGACTACACTTAGAGACAGACAACCAAGCACACTCACATTCACACCTACAGACAATTTAGAATCACTAATTAACCTCAACATGTTTCTGGACTGTGGGAGGAAGCTGGAGAACCTGGAGAGAACATGGAGACTCCTCACCGGGACGCAAACTGGCGACCTTCTAGCTGCAAGGCGACGGTGCTAACCACCGAGCCACCTTGTAGCCCTCCTTGAGAACATGTTGTACCAAATTTCACCCAGTGTAGTATCTGCTCCACGATAAATGTACTGGAAAATCGCAACCTGACTCACTGCCTCCCTGCTGTGTCAAGGAAGATGTCCATGTACTCATCCATGTCCCCTGCACAAAACATGTGCAGCAAACATGTGCAGGAGACATGGATGAGTACATGGACATCTCCAGCTGCAAGAAGAAAATTCTAATAAAAAAACAAAACAAACAAACAGCAAAACATTTGGGTGTACTGCAGTCAGAACATTGGCTACGAGTTGAAAGACACCTTCCAACAGAAATATACTGTGGATGTGTGTTGGTAGAGTTCATACAAGTCTATTAAATGACAATGATGGCAGAAAAAAACAAAAACACTTTTGGGGTTAGGATTTAATTTTACGTTAATGATGCTGGTAATGCTTCTATGAGGTACCATTAACACCTTTTTTCTTGCCTAAAGGAAACCTAAAATGTGGTAAGAAATAAAACCCATACTTGCGTAACTCGTCTGTTAGTCACCCTCTCTCCTGTCAGGCACTTGAATCAGGTTGACAGTTATCATTTTTGATCTTTTGAGTTCATCATTTGTGACAGACATCATAAGGTAATTTGTAAAAGAAAAACTATTGTCTTATTTTGGGGCCAAACAGTTTTTTTTTTTTTGTTTTGTTTTTTTTAAATTTTAAGTCGATCTGTTTTCACCTCAGATTCTCACTTTAAATGTTGTAAATCTCCATCCTCAAGCTGTTTTTTTTCCCCTCCAGATTGGTTTCTTCCTCAACGGCTTCATCCTGAGGTTCTACTTCTGCCAAGCGCAGCAGCAGGCGTCCAGCACCATTATGATCTACCTGAGGAACTTGGCGGCTGCTGATTTCCTGCTCTGCCTCTCTCTACCTCTGCGTATAGCCAACTATATCAGCAAATCCAACACTCTCCACCTGGTCCACTGCAACTTTGGCGCTACTGCCCTTTATGTGAATATGTACGCCAGCATCCTTTTCATGGGCTACATCGCCGCTAACAGGTAGGCCATGGCTAAGCAGGAATGTGCCTTCGTGTGTATAGTAAGTGGTTCACAGTTTCCCGGGCTTTTCTTGATTTCCCCTCAGAGTTTGAAAGTGGTAGATCTCCTGCTGCATAAAACACACACGAGCAAACTCCGAGCACATCTTGTGTTCGATTCCACCAGACACACAAATTTCCCCTGACGGAAGCAGTGGGTGAATGTTGAACTTCATTTATTTATCAGTTATCTTCTCACATTTTAGATATCTGAAGATTGCTCGTCCTTTGCAAACCCACATCCTACAAAAAGCACGGGCTGCTCACGTCATCTCCGCTGTAACCTGGGGTTGCCTCCTGACTCTGATGAGCGCCTACATCATCCTTTCGGTCTACACCCAGAAACCTTTGACCTCTATCCCCAGCACACCGATCTGCAAATTCCTGCGCAGTGACCAGCTCCATTTGCTCTACAAATTCATTCACAGCTTTTCCGGCATCGTCTTCCTGGTTGTCCTCATCTCCCTGCTCTTCTTCTACTACAGCACCTCCCGCAGGGTGTTGCTGGCGCAGAAGAAGCATCCAGAGTCCCTTGGCTCCAAAACGCTTAAAAAGTCACATAGGAACATGTTGGTGTTGGTCTGTGTCTTCTGTTTATGCTTTGTCCCCTTCCACCTGGTTCACCCTCTCCGCATGTTCCTGAGGAAGAATTGTAGAGGGGAAAACATTTTGCACAACCTGTCAGAGCTGACCATTCTAATGTCAGTTCTTAACGTCTGCCTCGACCCACTCATCTACTTCATCTTCTGCAAGGCATTCAGGGCTCAGTTTAACCTGAGACGAGCTCGTACATCCAATAATAGCAGCAATAATAGCTTCCAACAAATGAATTTAAATGAATAATAACTCATTATGTAATACGTGCATATGATGTAAAAACCACAAATAATATAAGATTAGAATGCAATAAGAGCAAAACTTCAAAATACTATAGCAAAAAAATCTAATGTGAGACATAACTGCCAATTAAATAAAAATCAGACGTGACAAAAACACTGAAAAATGTTGATAAACCACTGTAAAAATGTTTTGTTCAATTATTATAACTGTTTTTTTTGGTTTTTGTTTTTATTGTGGTTTCATTATAACTGCAAACAATAGTATTAAAAGCTAATAAGTGGATGTAATCGTGAATAATCACATAATAATGACTTTAATACAAAATAAAAAAAGCTCTTTATGTAACGGACAAATGTATGAAAAAACAGATATGTTAGTAATGTAAAAGTTGCCTATTGTGTTATAAGCACACGTACAAGGACAAAGTGATAAGTGTGCATAATGTAATAGCAGTAATAATATAACTGTATAAAGTAAAACATTGATGCTTTATTATGTAATAAAGAAGTGTAATAAAACCTGAGAATGTAAGAATTTTGCATAATGCAACAACTGCAAAGTATGTAATAAAACATTCAGTAAAATGTGACTCCATGTACCACAATAACAGGGTTTTCAAAAAATACTGTAAAAATGGAAAATGTCAATCAATTGAACTGTAATTAAAATGTTTTGCACATAGTGTAATGGCATTTTGTGTCCTATTGTCACATTTTTTGGGGATTAATTTTACATTCTGATTTTCCGGGCATTTTTAATTTTAAGCTTTTTCACTAACCATCGACATGTGTACACCAACATGAACCAGGACTTGTACCGCTAACAAAGCGAGGAATCCACCATGCTCACAGTGTCAGCGCTGACATGATGATGTTTACCAGTGTCGATATTAGGAAACCAACATAAGGTACAACTGATGCTAATAGAAGTGTTACTGGTTTTGCTGACATTTGGCAAAAAATAAACAAAGGAAGTAAACTAATAAAATATTTCTACCTGATGATGCCACCACAGAAAAAGTTACATAATCAGCAAAAAATAAAATTCAGACGGTAAATATGAACGTCTGTACCAAATTAAATGACAATCAATTCACCAGTTTTTCAGACATTTCATTTAAATTCACAAATATAAACCTCACGGTGACACTGTAGGGAAAGTCAAGTTAACTGAGAATGTCTAAAAAATACTAACCCATTAAGTAGCTAAGGTATTTAATGTAAAAAAAAAATAAATCAAACGTTGACCTGCTGATGGTGGAATCAAAATCATCAAAGTTATTAAGATACAACCATGAATGTCTGTACAAAATTTCACAGCAACCGATCCAATAGTTGATGAGATATTTCAGCCTTGACATATGTACAGTTGAAACCAAAAGTTTACATACAATGTGAAAAAAAACACATAAACCTTTTTTTCTCATTGTCTGGCAGTAAATCAGACTAAGCTTTTCTTGTTTTAGGTCAGTTAGGATAACCAAAATTATTTCTATTTGCCAAATGCCAGAATAATGAGAGAGATTATTTATTTATTTATTTATTTATTTTAATTTTCTTGAAAGCCAGAAGTTTACATACACTGAGATTACTATGCCTTCAAACTATTTGGGAAAGCCCAGATGATGATGTCATGGCTTTGGAAGCTTTTAATTGGTTAATTGACAACATTTGAGTTAATTGGAGGCACACCTGTGGATGGCACACCTCAAATACACTGCTTCCTTTTAGTGACAACATGGAAAATCTAAAGAAATCAGTCAAGATATCAGGAAGATAATTGTGAACGTCCACCAGTCGGCTTCATCCTCGGGTACAATTTCCAGATGCCTGAAGGTTCCACGTTCATCTGTTCAAACAATTATACACAAGTATGAACACTATGGTAATGTCTAGCCATCATAAGGCTCAGGAAGGAGACGGGTTCTGTGTCCCAGAGATGAAGTGTTTTGGTGCAAAATGTGTGTATCAACCCCAGAACAAAGGCAAAAGACCTTGTGAAGATGCTGCTGAAGCTGGTAAGAGAGTGTCATTATCCACAGTGAAACCAGTCCTGTACCGACATGGGCTGAAAGGATGCTCAGAGAGGAAGAAGACATTACTCCAAAAGTAACATAAAAAAGCCAGATTACAGTTTACAAATGCACACAGGGACAAAGACCTTAATTTATGGAGATATGTACTGCGGTCTGACTAAACTAAAATTGAACTGTTGTGAGCTTTTAAGAAAGACGATGAAGTCGATCTGGAAGTCTGAGAGCACCACACGTGACTGGAAGCAACGGACACCAACACAGCACACTAGCTACCAATTTGGCCCACTGGCAACGCTAATCAGGATGGCTTGGCTTTTAAGACTCCTGTTAATTGCAGAGTAGCCACAGGTGCACCTGGCCACTCATGCTGCTTCTCAGGACATGTAACCCAAAGAAGTGACGAGCACACAGACAACCTACCTACACACATACAGCACTGAGGGCTGTAATATTTGGTATAATTTACAAATACGCATTTTAGAGAAGTCATCGCTGAACCTGGAAGGAGTCTAATATGATATAAAAAGGTCTCCATAAAACTAGAACTGCATGCTATTAATCATTAAAAACTAGAAAAATCCCAAGTTTCTTTTGAGCACTGTAACCAAGCTGACAGACAGTCTCATCTTTGTGAGGCCTTGGATGTCTTCAGCCCTCATTAGTGATGACCTTCCTTACAAATACAATTACAACAACTAGAGAAAAAAATCCATCACGTCCTTCCCTCAGCTGCCACAGATTTGTCACCAAGCGCAGTGGCTCTGGAGGCATCCATGGAACCTGATTTATATGTGGACTGCTTCTGTCCCATAAAGCGCCCTGGGCTAATGTCAATAGTTGCCTCATCTAAATCATCAACATGTCTGTGAAACTCCACTTCAACATTACTGCTCAGTGAAGTTCTTCCTTTAAATACCATTTTCATGTCAGATCCAATCAGTCTGTCTGTATCAACAAGACACGTACCACAGACTTTTAAAGTTGCTAAATCACTCTTGATTCAAGTGTTTCAGCCACTTGTTGACCTATATCTAACGCCCACTATACTTTAAAAATAAATGGTAAATGCACTTATGTCCAAAGCGCTTTACAATGTGTTTCTCATTCACACACCAATGGTGACAGAGCTGCCATGCAAGGTGCTGCCTGCCATTGGGAGCAACTTTGGGTTCAGTGTCTTGCCCAAGGACACTTTGACTGTCGAGGGGCCAGGAATCGAATCGCCAACCTTGCGACTGGAGGACAACCCGCTCTACCACCTGAGCCACAGCCGCCCATAATGAAAAACCTGCTCCAAATAAATTATATGACCATCTGCACAGAAATAGTTTGTTTGAAGAGTTCCAGTTAGGATTTAGAATGCATCATCACATACAGACAGCACTTAGGAAATTCATCTTCTTAAATTTTTAGACCTTGAATTTGTCTTTGTACTTGTCCTGCTGGATCTCAGTGTTGCGTTTGATGCAACTCCTCACAACATTTACTAGAACACAGCTCTAAATCACATTTGTCTAACAGAGTTCAGTTTGTTTGTGTCATTGATGCTGTCAAACATTGGTTGTGGAGTTTCACAGGGGTCTTTGTTTGGACCAATACTTTTTACTTTGGGCAATATTGTAAAGGAACACTGCACAAACTTCCACTGCTATGCAGATGACACCAGGCTATATTTATCTATAAAGCTAGCATAAACAAATCAGCTGGGTGAGCTATCAGCATGTCTTTAAGCCATAAAGGCCTGGGTGGGCTTCAAATTTTACCCTCACACAAATTTAGGCAGATTTTATTGTATTTGGTTTTTAAAAAGACACTATTTAACCATATAGTTTAGTAGCACATCATCCCAACAGAGCACTTTGCTCTCAGAGTGCCGGTTTGCTTGTGGTTCCCAGAGTTTTCAAAAGTAGAATGGGAGGCAGAGCTTTCAGTTATCAGGCTCCTCTTTGTGGAATCAATTTCTAGTTTGTGATCAGGAGGCAGGCACCATCTCTACTTTTAAGATCAGGCGTAAAACTTCAGTTTCTGATAAAGCTCACAGTTACAGTCAGTTAGGACTGGCTCAGGCGACCCTGAACCATCTCTCAGTAATGCTACTATACACGGCTGGAGAACTTTCCATGATGCACTGAGCACCTCTCCTCTACTCTCTTCTCTTTCACTTGTAATTCATTTATATGCCACCATTGCATGTCACTAACGTGTCTTTTCTCTTCTGTTTGTGTTTTGTCCTCTCTGCAGGTGTCTCTGGATCTGGAGCTGCACATCTCTGACCTGCAGTTATTGGCTTCACCAACCTCCCTAGGACTTGTTGTTCTCTTTTGCACTGTTTGTCTGTTTCCTCTTTGCTACCCCGCTCTCTCTCCCTTTCACCCTCACCCAAACCAGTCGAGGCAGATGTCCGCCCTCCCTGAGCCTCGTTCTGTTGGACACTTCCTCCTGTTACTTGCTGAGTGTTTTCTACCTGTTGCCAAAGAGCTGCTCAAAGGGGATTGCTTGGATTTGTTGGCTCTCTCTCACGTTGAAGTTCTCTGAGATGACTTGTGTTGTGTGGCTCTATACAACCGAATTGAACTGAATTCATTAGATGTTCTGTACACATCATACCCAGAAACAGGATGTGTGGCCTGTTTTTGTTGATCGTGTGAGCTGAGGAGCTGTGTTACTAAACAGATGCCAACCCACTCTTCTCCCTTTTCCTGTCTGATCTCCCTAACAGAGGAGCAGAGTCAGTAGTGGCTTGACATTAACAGCACAGTTATTGATGGCTCATCTCAAACACAGAGAGGAAATCAAACCCGGGGCCTTCTGAATGATGAACCAAGAAAAGGTCAATGAAAAAGTTGATTCTTTCTTCCGTTCCCATATATCTCTCTGTCTTTCTTTCCTTTTATCTTAGTCTCTCCGCCAGAAAGGCTTCTGGCGGTGTATTGGTTCAGAGGAAAGGATGGGGAGCTGGAGTGGAGGGCGTCTGCTGGTTTCCTGCCAGGTTTTGTTTGTGTCGACATATAATCCATGTTAATAAATGGCTCTTGAGGTCATCAAAATGTAGCCGGAGGGAAAGAAGGAGAGATACAGAGGCAGCAGAAAATGGGCTTCTGTGTGACAGTGAGTGTGGGAGAGCGTTCAGAAC